TTCCCAATCACAGACAGAAAACAGTATAGGCATTTATTGAAAAAAATCTGCATTTAGGTGGGCAAACAGTTCAAATGTGTGTTGTTCAAGGGTCAACTGTAAAACTTGTCAGTCACCTAAACTAGGTACTTGGGAAATAAGGATATCCATGAATAGTATGGTCACTATTTTAATGAATGAACTACAAGTAGATAAAACACTGTAAATATGTTTACCTGTCACATTTTTGCTTACCTTACATGAAAGGATGTTACCAAAAGCAGAAAATGTATCATACAGTGCTTTATTATCAATGGATTTGTCCAAATTTTTAATGAATATGTTGCCCACTCCACTTTTGCGAAGTGATGGATCACGCTGAGACCACATGATGCGAACTGGCTTGCCCTTTATAACATCAAAATTCATGGTGTCCAAAGCACGCTCCGCTGCAGGAAGGATATTTTCATAGTGAATTATTACTTTAAAACTTTTACAGACCACTTAAAATTTTATGAACTACTGCATGTGGGAGGAGTGGTTGGGCCCACAGTCTATTTCTTCAAACTTCAAGATGGCTGGACTTTAGCTGGAACTAGTTGAGATTTGAGTTGTATAATATATAAAGAGAAGACAATTTCAAAAACTATATTTCCCACCTGTTAATGAATGACACTATTACTAATGATGTATTTCTAAAATAATCTTTCCCTGAAATTGCCATTATATTTAAAAGCACCTTTTTGTTCCTAGTCAACATGAAACCAAGATTCCTTTTCATATATAATCTGTTTAATGAGCAGTATAAAAGACATTAGACAATTGAAGATTATCCACAGGCTAAGTGTAGTTTTTAACTTTTAAGCATTTTAACTTCTTCCCTATTGCTTGCCAAAATGGTCCTTTCACTGGCAGCTGATCACTGCTAATATTACACAAAAATTAGTCCATTTTCCTAAAAGATAAAAGTCCCTGAATTATTGTGTGTGGGGGTGGGGGTGGGGATTTCCATGATTCATGGCACAACTTCCTAATGTCATGTAAACAAAAAAAGGAAATGCTATATCCATATCTATTCAGATCAAGATTTGAATCAGGCCTTCAAAAACTAATGTGACAGAGAAAGACAAGTACCATCTCTCACTCAAATGTGGAATTTAACGAACAAACTACCAAGCAAAATAGAGACAGATCAGAGGGCAGGCAGACAGTTTTGGGGGGGCGAGGGGGTGAGCAAAAAAGAAAAAAAAGAGAACCGCAGACATGGACAACAGTGTGGTGATTTTGGGGATGGAGGGGGATGGGTGGAGGTGGAAGAGGGCATAGAGGCAATAAAAAGTGATAAAAAAATAAAATAAAGGCTCTATTAAAAACAAAAACCCTCTAATGTGAGGTTTGGCCTAATTAGCTGTGTAATACAGAATTTTTTAACTACTAGGTCTACAATGTTCACAATTCACTATTAATGCTTTCTTGACATATAAAACCAACTTTATCTTAGATCACTTGTGTACTTAAATGATAATTTAACCAATTATTTCTGGATAGTGCTAGAAAATTTCAAAATCTATCCTATTATTTCAGGATCTATGAAGAATCATGTGCACCCATACCACTAAAGAAACACTTATTAGAAAAGTTGAGACTAATTGAAAAAAAAAACAAACAAAAAACACCAAACATCCGTAAGTGAAAAAATCTAGTCCCTTAAAAGGAGAAAAACAGCCCTGGCCAGTTTGGCTCAGTGGTTAGAGCTTCAGCCCACGGCCCAGAGTGTGGGGTTCGGTTCCCACTGGGGGGGCACGTACCTGTTGCAGTTTGTCCCCAGCCCCAGTTGGGGTCGTGTGGGTGGCAACCAGTCTACGCATCCCTCTCACATCGATGCCCTCCCCCCACCTGAAGATAAATGTAAAAATGTCCTCGAGGATATAAAAATAAAAAATAAAAAAAAGGGAGAAAAACATAGTCCATTTCCAGTTCTACACCAAATTTCACAAATCCCATGCCAATGTAACTTTAAAGTTGTTGAGAGGACAAATTTTCCAGCCACTTTTTACAAATGAAAGTTTCATTTTCTAGAAGACAGTGACAGATAAGCTGTCAGCTCATTATCAATTGACCACACCTACTCACTCCCCTAGTTTTTAGCTGACTTTGAGTTTCTTTTGAACGAGTCACCTCTTCCAGTTAAATTGGAAACTGGTCACTTTCAGGAGCTATTCTACAAGTCCATCCATGTAGCAATAAATAAGAAAAAAAGAAAACCACTCAAAAAACTATTTGGAAGGATACTAATTTGTACATGTAGAAACCAAATAAATGGAAAAATGCTATCTTCTTTTGAGCAGGCAGAGCACTATTTTATTGGTATAGAATGATAACATATATGATGTATTGTAACCTCGGTAAACCGAAGTTCAACTTTTTTCAAATCCCAAGAAATTAAAAAGTTGTTTCTTTGGATTTAAAATGGTTAAGCTTAGAAAAATTAGAAGCCCCCTTTCAAAAGCTACTATTTTCTGGTCTCTAGCATTTGTTCAAGTTTTCTCTTAGCAACTCTTTAGCTTGTGATTACCTGACCCAAACTTACATTCCCTAATACTACTTGATCTTCCAGTCAATGATAAGTCTTGCCCAGAGTGGGGAGAACTGTCAGGGAGTGACATTTGGAGGTACTGCCTACAGAGCAAAAGGGGCAGGAAACCTGCAGTTTTACAACTTCTGATTCAGTGTCATTCAGTAGTTTGCCTACCCCAAATCTCAATATTAACTTTACCTAGTGAGAAGCTGATAATTACGTAAATAACTTCTAAATGAACTTAATAAAATAAAGGTTTAAATTCCACTCTTACGGCTTTTTTTTTACGAACATAAAAACAAATTCCTTATATTTTAGAATATTTGATATGTATATAAGCGGCCTGGGGGAAAAAGCAAAATTGGGCCATAAAATAGAATGAAGCTGACTTGGATTTCAATTGATCTAGAAAGAAAGAAAAAATCCTGGCAAAACCCATCAGGCCACATACCCTATCTATTAAATTTTGTCTTTGTGAACTGTTTAACTTTAAAATAAAAATACAAGGTTAGCAATATTATTCCCCCAAAAGTTTCTGGCTAATTTGAATCTGTTACTCAGTACTCAACCACTCCTCATGATTTATGGATATTCTGGACCACTTTTTAAAAAATAAACCTGAACTACTCCAATTCCACGTAAGTAATAATGATCCAGTTCACAAGTAACATTTTACAGCCAAATCTGGAACTCATTTTTTAAGTAAAACCCTTCAAAATCATAGTAACTATTAGTTTCAGAAGAGAAAAAACAATATTCTGAACAAATGACCAGTACTACGAAACTAACTTGATTAAAACATTTAAATGATCTACATTCCCTGAGAAAACGATGGCCTTCCAAAGGGCCATCCTCCACATCTCCTCCAAACCTGCAGTTATGTTCAAGTGAGAAGTCCTTGATAGGGGAAAACCCCAAATGCATGGCTCATAGATAATTTACATCTGTAGAACCATCGACCACTGACAAGTTATTAAGAACGTAGTCAGAAACCTGAGGACCACCACTGCACACACACCACCATATCCACTTTATTCTAAGGCCAGTAGCTTTCCCAGGAGACTGGGCCACTAGCAGAAACAGGCCTCGGGCCTGAGGTTACAGGGTTCAACACGTGGTGTTTTTCGAGCACCAAGCTGCACTTCCACGCGGTGCCGGGGCGCCGGCAAAAAACTCGGGTGGTGAGAGCGCCTCTACCTATTACCGTAAAAGGGGGCTCGGCGCTCGACGCCCCAGAATCCCGCGGCTACTGGCGGAAGAGCCATGGAAGAACCCAATCTCACTAACCCTCCCAGCGCGTCATCACCCTAAAGTTTGAGAGCGGCTGAGGCCGAGAAAATGGTTGCAAAGGAGGAAGTGGCCAGGCGTGCGAGGGGCGTGCGGCTGCCGGCGGCGCGTGTTCCCCCTGGTATGGAGAACCGGGGTCTTGGCGCCCGAGCCTCTCCCCACCAGCCGTCGATAAAGGGGGGGTGTGACATGCCCTCCCACCCCCTCCCCCCACGCCGGGCCCGCCGGCCTAGCCCGCCCGCCGCCGCCGCCTGAGCCTCATGGCCGCCCGCCCGCCCGCCCGCCCGGCCCGGCTCTCACCGTCTGCCGGCTGCTGGAAGTTCACATACGCGTAGCCCAAGGAGCGGCGGGTGATCATGTCCCTACAGACCCGGATGGAGAGGATGGGCCCGGCCGGGCTGAACTTCTCGTAGAGCATCGCCTCGGTCACGTCGGGGTGTAGATCCCCCACGTACAGCGAGGCCATAGGGTAGCTGGGGGCGCTGGGGTTCATCTCGGCACGGCTGCCCGCAGGGCCACAGGCCGCGACCTTTCCGTGAGAGGAGGAGAGCGAGTGCTGGGGCCGGGGGCTGGAGCCGGGGGGAGGGGAGCGGGGGCAAGCGCAGAGGGACAAAAATCAACCGGAATCGAAAACTACTCAACAGCCGCAGAACGGGGTCGATCCGCTGCCGCTGGCCGCTGGCTGCCGGCTGGGGAGCGAGGGTGACGGTGTCGGGTCCGGGCAGCGAGAAGGCCTCGGTCTCTTGGTTCCTTCTTGGAGCTGCTGCGGGGCCGCGGGCGGGTCGGTCTCGGCTGCTTCACCGGGTTATTTTATAAAAAGGAAGAAAAAAAATAAAAGTCTCCGGCGGGGGAGACGCGGACTTTTTGTTATTTTTTTTGGGTTTTTTAAAAGATTTTTTTATATTTTTTTTGGGTTTTTTAAATAATAAATGTGTGTTCCGAGCCCGGAGCACACACTCCGCACTCTCAGCACTAACCGCCGGGGAGAAGGGGAAGCACCGCCTCCTGCACCCTCTACTTATACCGCACGCGGCACTCGTCCCGCCCCAGCGCGTCTGACGCCAGGACCCTACGTGAGCGTCAGCGCCGGAGGAGGAGGAGAAGAGGGCGAGAGGGAGGAGGGAAGAGAAAACAGGAGGAGGAAAAAGCTGAGAGGAAGGGAGAGGTGGCGGCGGCCGCGGCAGCTGCAGCGGGTATGGGGGTGGGGCTGGGGCGAAGGGGCGGGGACTCTGCGCACGCGCCGCGGCCTGGGGGCGGGGCCAGCGCTGCGTAGGGCCCTTGGGGGAGGGGACGGTCGGCTCGTGGGCAGCTTTCGGAGTAGTCGGGTGGGACCGCCCCGCCTTCCACACTCCCTGCCCCCACCTCCACCCGGGAGAAGCGTTAACCCGTCACCGCTGCGGTGGGCGGTGCGCGGAGCTTCCGGGTTCCTCCGTACTGACCACCCCCCACGTGCACGGTTGCCCGGCCCTCTTCCCGCGGCAGCCAGCCAAATTTCGTTCGCCCCCGTCCCTAGGGACGCCGGGCACGAGTGGGAGGGCGTGATCCCTTCCAGGCCCAGTTTCCGAAACGTGCGTGAAAGGAGCCAGGGCTGGCTTCCCCCTTCTCCTACCCGGACCGCACTACGAAACCCAGCGGGCACCGCCGCCCCGCGCGTCCGCCGCAGGAGCGGTGCCTGCTGGGAGCTAGAGTCCCCAACGGCCGCGGCGCCCGCCGACCTCAACTGGCCGCGGGTCCTGGCGACCCCAACCGTCCCGGCGCTGAACCCCGGTTGCCACCCCCGCGGTGCGTTCAGCGGGGTTAGGGGGAGGGGTCCTGGGGCTCCTTGTCCTTTGGTTTCCGAGCCTTAGGCTCTCCTCAGTCTCTTCTTTGGACTTGGTGGTTGGTCAGTGGCTTTAATTGAGGAAAGCTGTTTTGGGGTCTTTGTCCGCTTCCCCTTTTTAAACTATGGTGATAACTATTAATTTAAGATGCTAGGTTGAAATCACTGATTCGTGCTGTTTCTGCGAGGAATTTCTTTGAGACAGAAGACAGGACTCGACAAAATGTTTTTTCTTAAAGGATGAGTTGTTTATATCACAGTTTTACATGACACCACACACCTGCAACCGGGCAAATTTAGGAATGGTCTAAAACGCAGTATTACCAATGTTTAAAACAATTTTGTACGTTAGTTGTGACCTTTAATAGGAATGCTAAATTTAGGAGTTATTAGCCGTACAAAATGACAGTTAATAGGAATGACTGTATTAACGTACAAATTCCCACCTTAAGGTAGTAATGTATTTAGTAGTTTTTAAAGGACTTGCATAAACGTTCTACCGTCTATTCCCTACAGCAATCTCGTGTGGGACATGGAGCAAGTAGTAATAATTTTATTTTACTGTTAAGGGAACGGTCTCAAATGATTGCCCAGTGCATTCTTTATTTCAGCAAACTTCAGTGCATGCCAAATATATTGGCAGATATGGACCGGGTTCAGTATACTCATTTAATGAAAATTTAAACCAGCCAAGTCCCATGTAAGGGCTCGTTTACACTCCCACCCCCATCCCCACCCCCCGTTGGTAGGAAGAAGGTAATATTTCTGAAAAAAATGTTGCCTGGTGTGCTTTATTAGGCAAAAGAGCAAAAAACTTAGGAATGTGCATTAAGAAGACACTATTACTAAATAATAAATCACCATTCAATCTATTAGAACTCTGGTTAAAATCAATCCATCAATATATTTATAGAGTGCCTATCAAATGGAGAGTACTGTATCCGTAAGTAAGGAAGATGGATGACAGACAACAAATTCCTGTCCTCAAGAGGATTGATAAGTTCCTCTGGTAGTCATAACTACAAGCATTGAAATCAGTACAATAAACATCCAATCCCAGCATTTTATCTATGACAATTTCCTGTTAGATTCTAAATGTTTTCCTTAAAAAATAAGAGGGTAAAAATTCCATTATTGTACTTTATTTTTGTACATTTAAAAAAATTTTTTTTTTCTTTATTGATTTTAGAGAGAGGAAGGGAGAGGGAGAGAAACAGAAACATTGATGAGAGAGAACATCCATTTGCCGCCTTGTGCATGCCCCCCACTGGGCATCAGGCCCAAACCTGGGCATGTGCCCTGATGGGGAATCAAACTGGTGAGCCACACCAGCTGAGCTCCACTATTGTACTTTAAAATAAAACGTGACTCCACTTGAATATTTCAGTTAAATTACTGAACAGACACAATATGTAAAACCAAACAGGGATAAAAGAAGACTTGTACTCAATAAAGGAATAAAGGGAGACCACCTCCAGTAATTTGGAAATTAAATTACACCAAGTTAAAACTATCCAAACCATGCATAATTACTAAAATTATCTATCCAGGGGATTTTACATGTACTTCTGGTAGAGGAAGATGAGGGTGCAGTTTCTGGTGGACTTCACTAAAACATGATTGTAACTAACAAAGATGAAAAAAATTGTCTGCTTAGAGGCCAAAAAGTTTTTGTCAGAGAACAAGAGTTTGGCAAGCACTATGTAGGGTTTGAGCACTCCAGTCACTAGAAAGGGCTTACTATTCAGGTTTCACTGGAGCTTGAATTAAATAACTCTCAAAAGACTTCTCTTTGTTATGAATCCATTTTGAACAAGCAACTTCCCAATTGATAAGTCCAATTAATAGGTGAGCTTCCAAGGCACCTTGATGCAGAAAATGGATGCCCTGGATGATAGAAGTATTCTAGTCACTGGAAAGTTATATCAGTTCTTCGTAGGTTAATACTTTAGGAAGGAAACAGGTCATCAGTACTCATGCAGTTGTGGTTCTTGACATTCGGGGCATGTCATTGTCATATTTCAGGGAGGTACAGTTGAGTATGTACAAGGAAGACTAGAGTAAGTCCATTCCTGAGGAGAAGGAGCTAGTTGAATCAGGAGAGGGAGTCCGAGCCCGTCTCAGGAGGAAATAGGAGTGGGGTCTGAAACTAGAACCAAGAACCAGTTCCCTTGGTCCATCAATCAAGTCACCTCTTTATCTTCAACCAGTTCACTTCTCTTAGAAACCTTTCTGAGGTAAAAAACAAACAAAATCAACACAAACGAAAAAACAAGCTCTCCCTTAATCACATATTCTTTTCTAATTTACTTTTTCACAGCCAAACTTTTTATTTCCACTTGTCTCCCCTTAATTCCTCAAGCCCTCTGTGATGATTTCTCCCACCTCCACTCAAACTGCCCTGTCAGCAGTAGTCAGTGATTCCTCTTCCCTTTGACAAATCCAGTGGACTTTCTTCAAGTTAATTTCATTTAACATCTGCAGAATCTGACCCTGTTTTTCTCCCTCTCATTTTTAAAATACACCCTCTTGGCTTCTGGGCTACAAGTTTCCTGGTTGTGCCCAGCTCTCAGACTATTCCCAGTCTCCTTGTCACCCTTCCTGACCACTAGATTGGGCTGGGTACTCTTCCTTTGGGCTTTACCCTGACCATCCCTCTGCTATTATAACCACATTATTTTTAAATAGTCTGCTTATGAACTATTTCCCCTCAAAAAAACTTGTAAACTCTAAAATAGAGCATATTTTCTATTTATCTGTATTCCTACTACCAAGCATGAAGACTGGCACCTTGGAGGTAGTTTTTTCTCAATTTAAGCTCAGGGAGAAGGCCAATTAGGCTGTGGACTGACCACACAAGAATGGGGCTTAATCAAGAGATCTCAACCTGAAATTCACAGGGGCATCGAGGGTCATGTCCAAGTCCATACTGCTTTGACAGCCTGCTGCAGTGCATTACTTCTAAACTCCACAGGCAATTGGAGGGAGTATTTCCTAACATACTGGCTGGGCACTCATTTCCAGTGCTGAGCTTGGAGGTCGCCAACTTCTAGTACCCAGAGTCAGCAAGGAGGGACAAACAAGGACTGCTGTATAAAAGGAGTTTCTGGATATCCAAAGCTGAGGACACTATACAGTGGCAATTCCATTAATATTCTGTCACCCTTTAGGAGATATCAGACAGCCTCCCTCTTAGACTTTAGCAGTATAACAGATTTGGGGGGGGGGGGCGTTAATCCTCATTCGAGGATATTTTTCTATTGATTTTTAGATAGAATGGAAGGGAGGGAGGGGGAGAGAGAGAAAGAGACATCGATGTGAGAAAGACACATTGATTAGTTGCCAATCCTGAGACCCTTTGGTCTACAGGCCGTCACTCTAACCACTGAGCCAAACCGGCCAGGGCAGTATACCAGATTTTGATAGAGGTAGTTATGACAACAAATAAAGTCAGAAGATATAGTATTTGTTTATTCCCTTTGGGTTTTTGATTCACTACTCTCATTTTTCTCATTATTTCTCTTTGGTCTTAAAAAGTGTGCGGTCTATGTTTATCTGGCTTGCCTGTGTATATCTAATTTTAGATCGCAAAGCTGTAGGACAGAATAATGTCTTTATATGTGCAGCATCTCACTGTGGGTGCCTAAGAATATCTAATGACATCAACACCATTCAATTAACTTGTTTTAACAAATAAAATGTAGAGTTTTCTAGAGAACTTGTTCACTTGAACTTCACTAGAGATTTATAAATAATTTTCAGGGTATATTTAGAATATATCCAGACTATAGTGTTTCACATAATGTATGACAAAGTTGACTGGGCTTATGAGATCTTTATGTAATACTGAGAGATACATATTTGAGATAAATAGTAAGAGAATATAGCAGTCCTCTCCCAACTGAAGGGATACACTTTATATAGATCTTTAACACAGAAAAATATCAGACAATGTTCATGACAAGACCCAAACTATACAATGTTTAACAAGATTAGCTATTTGCTTCATTAGATTTGTGGGTTTGTGAGGAACACAAAACCTATACAAATTTGTAAATTGTCATGCCCATGATCAGAAGGATTTCCTATAATAAGGGTCCCCTTCGGATGTTATGTTTTCTTCCATGCGTATTACATATATTCCTCATACCAACCAAGAACAAATAAAGGAATTTATAATAGAGTTTTAAATTGCTGCTGACCTGTGTCAGATGATGTTGATACAACATTAGTTCTGAGAAAATGACTGCCAAGTAAGATCCTGAAACAGACCTACTTAGAGTCATAAACACAGACACAATATCAGGACAAAAGGGTAATTAAAGGCTTTCTTGTAAAAGGGAATAAGAAACTCAGAGAAAGGCAACAAAATTTCAGACATTATATGCAGCAGAATTTTCACTGATACATCACCTAAGGCAACAGAAACAAAGGAGAAAATGAACACATGGGACTACATCAAACTCAAAAGCTTCTGCACAGCAAAAGATAAAATCATCAAAATGGAAAGGCAACCCACTGTATGGGAGAGCATCATTGCCAATGATGTATCAGATAAGGGGTTACTTTCCAATATATATAGAGTGCTCATACAACTCAACAAAAGGAAGACAACCCAATTAAAAAATGGACAGAGGAGCTAAATAGACACTTCTCCAAACAGGACATACAAATGACTAAGAGACAAACGAAGAAATGCTCAACATAACTAATCATCAGAGAGATGCAAATTAAAACAACAATGAGGTATCACCTCACACCTGTCAGAATGGCTGCCATCAACAAATCATCAAACAACAAGTGTTGGTGAGGGTGTGGAGAAAAGGGGACTCTAGTGCACTGTTGGTGGGAACGCAGACTGGTGCAGCCACTATGGAAAACAATATGGTGTTACCTCAAAAAATTAAAAATTGAACTTCCATTTGACCCAGTGATCCCACTTCTAGGAATATACCCTAAGAAGCCTGAAACACCAATCAGAAAGAATATATGTACCCCCATGTTCGTAGAAGCACAATTTACAATAGCTAAGATCTGGAAACAGCCCAAATGTCCATCAGTAGATGAATGGATAAAAAAGCTGTGGTATATATACACAATGGAGTACTATGCAGCTGTAAGAAAGAAAGATCTCTTATCCTTTGAGATGATATGGAGGGACCTGGAAAGTATTATCCTAAGCAAAACAAGCCAAGCAGAGAAAGACAAATATCACATAATCTCACTTATTTGTGCAATATAATGAACATAACAGTCTGAGGAACAGGATAGTCCCAGAGACATGGAAGTGAGGTTCAGACTGACAATCCCCAGAAGAGTGGGTGGTGGGAGAGAGAGAAACCACAGAACTTATATGCTGTATGTATGAACAATGGACATGACAACAAAGGTGGGGACAGGGCGGGGAGGGAAGGAGAGGGGGGAATCAGTGGGGGGGAGGAGAAACATCTGTAATAAAAATAAATAATTAAAAAAAAAACTCAGAGAAATATCAGAATACTTAGGTTTCTTACAAAGTGCTCTTCTTGTTTAAAAATTTTAAAAATTCATTTTAAAGAGAAAAGAAGGGAGAGAGAGAAAACCAAACAAATCAATTTGTTGTTTCACTTATTTATTCATTCATTGGTTGCTTCTTGTATGTGCCCTAACTGGAGATTGAACCCACAACCTTGGCGTATCAGGACAATGTTTTAACTAACTGAGTTACCAGCCAGGACACAAATTGCTCTTCTAATGGCATAACCATCTGTATAAAACCAGTATGTTATAATAACAATAGGGTATACTATAGGTATATAGGGTTACTATAATAGACATACCACTGTCTGCCTAATAGAATTATTGCGAGACCTGAATAGGATACTATATGTAAACTAATGTTATATCATCTACAGTGCTACCATTTATTGAGTAACTTATCTCTGTAAATATAACTGCACATTGACTTGGCATATACTAAATCTAAATGCATGGCAGAAGTAGAAACATACACAATACAGACATTAAAAAAATATCACTGTTACTGTCCTACGCTAACTTGGAGGACAGAAAAATGCAATGGCTATATTGAGACTAAATATTGGATGAATAACAAAAAGAAAAGCCTAATTTAAATCAATTGCCTTTCTAGGGCATGAATTATGTCGAGAGGGGGTCAATGTGAGAACTTTGAAATGAATTATACTCTAGGACCATGGTTCCTAAGGCACAAATAACTTAAGTACATAAGATAAAAAGAATAACAATACAAGAATAACAAGGTAAATGGAAGAAATTTTATTAATATTAAGAGCCAGTATTTATTGAGCATTTACGTGCCTCCTCATCACAAGCCCATCAGATGTAAAACTACAATATTGTCAATGATGAAACTATGGCTTAAAGAAATCAAACAACTAATTCAAACATAGGCAGTATGTCCAGCCAGTGTGGATCAGTGGATTGAGCGTCATCCCATGGACTGAGAAGTCCTGGTTCAATACCTGGTCTGGGCACTGCCTGGGTTGTGGGCTTCATCCCCAGCAGGGGCAGTGCAGGAGGCAGCCAATCGATGTACTAGCTCTCTAAAATAATCAATAAATCAAGTTTTAAACCAAGTTTAAAACCAAAACTTTTAAAACCAAGTTTAAAAGATGAGGTCTTTGCCCTGGGTCAGTGGTTTGAGCATCGGCTGATGAACTGAAGGGTCTCGGGTTCGATTCCTGGTCAAGGACACATGCCTGGGTTTCGGGCTCATTCCCTAGCCCTGGTCAGGAGAGTGCCAGAGGCAGCCAATCGATGTGTCTCTCTCACGGCTGTCTCTCTCCACCCCCCGCCCCCCCTTCCCTGCCACTCTAAGAAAAATCAATGGAAAAAATATCCTTGGGTGAGGATTAACAAAAAAAGAAAAAAGATAGGTCTTTGATCTGGGAATTAAGGGGGAGCAATACTTGAAATAATGAGAGGAAAGGACATTGTAAGGTAGAGGAAATAACATCAGAAATGTCGTGGAGGTAGGAATAAGCAAAATGTGTTGAGGGTATGTCAAAATTCTTGGCTGAAACGTGGCAGACAGAAGGGAGTAAAGGCAAGTGAGAGAGAGGGCAAATACAAGGAAAAATAGGTTAGGTCTTAAATATTGGAAAAATAGATTGGGGCTCCAATGAGATGATAGCACCTGATCTAATCCTGTGGCCTTGTGGTTTATCGGAAGATAATTCTGGTGGCAGTGTGAACTTACTGGATTTGAAAAAAGAGAGACAAAAGGAAACCAATTAAGATATTTATTCTTGCCCTGGCCGGTTTGGCTCAGCGGTTAGAGCATCCGCCTGCGGTCCGGAGAGACCCGGGTTCGGTTCCCGCTATAAGGGCATGTACCTCGGTTGCAGTTTGTCCCCGACCCTGGTTGGTCATGCGGGTGGCGACCACTCGATGTGTCCCTTTCACATCGATGTTTCCCTCTCTATCTCTTCCTCTCTCTTCCTCCACACTCTGTCTGTACAAAAATGGAAAATGTCCTCGGATATGAGGATTAAAAAAAACCAACAAAAAAAAACAAACAAAACAAAAAGATAGTTCTTACTGTCTAATGAAAAGAACACCATTTTATTTAGGAATTAAAACTTTTACCCTATAGTAAATCTTAAAAAGAATTTATTGTGTATCTCTTTATATAAAGGACATTGAATTACAGAATTCATTCATTTGTTCACTACAAATTAAATCTTATTTAGGCCTATAGGGTATGCTGTTTAAGGCACTGCATGTAAAATATTACAACCAGTAAAGTCTCTGCCTTCATGGAGCTTACTCTGTAGACAATTGGGCAACTCTCTTAATGATTTTACAAAAAATACAGGAACAGTTTTCATATAGATGTTTTCTTTTGTCAACTCTTAACAATGGCTAATTATAGTCCAGCAAAGGTATTTCTGTTGAGAGCTGAATTTGACATAAAGCTTACCAAATCTATACAGAATAGGGCAAAAGTAGGTTTATAGTTGTGAGTACAGAGTTTATTCTTGTATTTTTACTGATTATTGTATTATTTTCCATACGAACAACTGTAAACTTACTTTTGCCCAACCCTGTAGAAACTGATGGTTGTGTAGCCTTTAAGCAACATATCTCAAATATCAGCAGGACTTTTTAAAAAGGTAGATTGAAGTCACTTTCAACCTGAGGTCTCTGGTAGCTGACTAAAGGACAACTATTCTGGGTTGGTGATTAAAAAGAGGTATATAGCACGGCCTGTGTGGCTCAGTGGTTGAGCATGCACCAAGAGGTCACCGGTTCGATTCTTGGTCAGGGCACATGCCCAGGTTTGGGCCTGATCCCTAGTGGGGGGCATGCAGGAGGTGGCCAGTCGGTGTTCTCTCTCATCAATGTTTTTCTCTCTCTTTTTCTCTCCCCCTCCTTTCCTCTCTCTCTAAAATTAATAAAGAAAAAAAAAAAAAAAGAGGTATATAGCCTGGCCAGTGTGTATCAGCAGATTGAGCATTGTCCCATGGACTGAGAGGTCTCGGTTCAATTCCCCATCAGGGCACATGCGCAGGTTGTGGGCTCAATCCCCAGTTGGAGGCATGTAGGAGGCAGCTGTTTGAGGTTTTTCTCTCACATTGGGGGGAAAAAAAGAGATATATATTTACATATCTCATTTTCAATATATATAGACTGAGTGATATGGTAAGAACCTTGGAACACTGCAGATACCGAAATGGAGAAGAGAATCTCTACCTTAAAGAATGTATAATGACATTAACGCCATTGAATTAACCTCTGTGTGTGATTTTTTTTTTTTTAATCTTAATGAATGGATTGCAAAGTTCTCTAAATTAAATCTACAGATTTATAAATAACTTACAAATACTTTGTAAGCTACTTCTCTCTAGGATATACCTTATATAATATACCTTATTATGTACGGTAAATCAGAGTTGTCTGGCTTCATGAGGTATTTAAGTCTAACATTAAGAGATCTATCTGATATGAATAATGAGGGAATACTGCAACTCCCAACCGAAGGGGTATACTTTCTAGAAACCTCTATAAAGTTAAAATTTACATGAAGGAAGTATAATCTAGTGGGGTGACAGGCATCATTACCAAATTACAACACAACACAAATGATATAGTAGCAGAGTGAGCACAAGGTGCTCTGGGTACAAAGAGCAAGTGTATTGAACTCAGCTTTGGGTGTCTGGGGCTGGGGGCATGAGAGGAGCAATCGGGCTGAGTTTCCTAGTTCAGTAACATCTACCATTTAGCAAGGTGCTCCAGAGAAGGTCAGCACACGGCTAGACCCAGGTCCAGGCCCACTAGCAATGTACTCAGTGATGGTGTCACCTCCTCTGAGTTAGGCCCAATAGAGCACTGCAGCAGCTCTAATGAATCATAAGTAACCCACCTGTTAGATTAAATGAAGAAAATCAGTTTCAGTTCAGTAAGAAATTGTATTTATGCTAAACAGTGGATAACTGCCCTGTGTCCTCACAAGTGCATGCTGAATGATTGTAGCGACAAAATTATGTGTTTAAGTACCTGTCCAGTGTGTCTCTGACTTGGGAAATCTATAGTTGTATAGTCTAGATTATTTTAAAATTTTTATTTATTCTTTTTAGAGAGAGAGAAGAAGAGGGAGAGAGAGAAACACTGACTTGTTGTTCCACTTATCCATGAATTTATTGGTTGCTTCTTGTATGTGCCCTGACTGGAGATCAAACCTGCAACCTTGGTGCATCAGGGCAACACTGAGCCACCTGGCCAAGGCTATAGTTTAGACTTTAAGCCCACTTTTAATCTTTTAGAATTACTTAAAGTTTACCCAGTAATACCATTTTCTTTTCAACAATAATTTTGGGCTGTTCATTTCTTTCCATATAAAAATCTATTAAAATTTTTTTTCTTTATTAATTTGAGAGAGAGAGAGAGGAAGGGAGAGGGAGAGATAGAAACATCGATGAGAGAGAACATTATTGGATGCCTTCTGCATGCCCCGCACTGGGGATCAGGTTCACAACCTGGGCATATGTCCTGACCAGGAATCGAACCGGCAACCTCTTGGTGCATGGGTCGATGCTCAACCACTGAGCCACACTGGCCGGCTGGGCTAAAAATCTATTTTTAAAAGATAATGTGAAGGTAGCCTATCTGCCATTTAACTACTGATGAAGTAATTTGTATTTGAAAAATAAAATCCTCATCTCTCAAAAGGCAAAAGTGAGAAGCTGAAAGTCACTGCATCCAAGAACTCAGAAGTGCCAATTGTCTGTCTGCTGACCTCACGTGGATGAAGACAAGAGGATCGAACCATGTGCTTGTAAATATTATATAAGCATGCAAAATGAAGGCTTGTGAGTGGCAAACTAATTGGCTGGACATCCTTAGTGAGATGCATTCTAAGGTAAAAAATTCAGTATTAGTATTAATATTTATATTAATATTTTATGCTTTTGAGTATTTCATTGACTTATAAAAAAGGGACATATAATATGGATGAAGAATTAAAATATTAACGTACCATACTGTAATGTGAGAACTAAGTTGGAAATAATAATATAAACTAAATCATTTAATAAAATATATCTTTTCTAGCTCTGTTTAAAGAAATGGTCAAGGAACAATATTACTCCATTGTCATGAGCCTGATGATTTATACTCCTAATGCCTAAATTATGGGGCTGGGTACTGTTTTTCACTTAAAGGAAACACTATACCTTAGAAAAAGGCTGATTCTTGGGCCTGGGAAGGTACAAGTGGCTCTTGGAACATTTTACTGGGACAGAAAGCAAGAATGCTTTAAAAAGTAATGGTGTTGCCCTGGCCAGTTTTGCTTAGTGGTTAGAGCGTTGGCCCATGGACCAATGAGTCATGGGTTCAATTCTGGCCAAGGGCATGTACCTCAATTGCAGTTCATGCCCAACCCTGGTTGGGGTCATGCGGGAGGCAACCAGTCAAGGTGTCCCTCTCATGTTGATGTTTCTCTCTCTCTCTCCCTTTCCCTCCTACTCCCTGAAGATAAATAAAAATATATCCTCAGGTGAGGATTCAAAATAAATAAATAATGATGTTGCATGGAAGAACACAGAGCCAGTTTAAGGGGACAGCCATTGGCTAAATTCTGTCAATTTGAGTATCAGAAGGAAAATGAATACTGTGGGTGTTTGAAATGTGTTAATTTGTAAAAAGCTGAGTTCATAATGATAGCAAAAATGAGAAAAGTTGATGAATTATACTAAAGAAGTTGAATATAATTGAATCTCATTACTTATACTTATCATGTTAGTACTGTTGACTCATTAAATCAGTACAGAATATCAAATTCAGTAAATATCAAGCATGTTAGTTTTACTTGATCTAAGTTTACATTTAGAAGACTACTTCTTAACTCTTAGTCAATAACTGCCAGTGTCTATCCTAGTGCAAACTGATTTTTTTTTTTTTTTGTAGTGACAAAATCGCATCCTTAACTGCCTTGGAAATCTAATGCTGGGAGTTTTGATTGCACCTCAAGGTGCCATTCTAGTAAGTCATCTTGGGAAAATTAGTTTGTTAATATATTGAATTTTTGTACTCCTTATTCTATATGATCAGCTAAGTTTTAAAGCTAGTTCATAACCTGGTTGTATTTTGCATATAATTATATCGCAGGCTCTCTGATAGAACTTTCTGTGATGGGGAAATGTTCTATACCTGTGTTATCCACTAGGGTAGCCATTAGTCATGTGCAGCTAATGGCTATTGAGCCCTTGAAATGTAGCAAGTGAACTGAATTTTAAATTTGATTTATTTAAATTAATTTAAAGTCAAATAGACACATGGTTCATGACTATTGAATTGGACAACACAGGTCTTGATCTTAAACCTCCTTTTAATTATATGGAATAACTTTAGATTTACCCGATATAAATTCCTTCTCACAAATTCTGGAATATTGTCCATTTCCTTTAGGATACAGATCTACACTGAAAAAAATAGTGTTTTAATTTTTTTGAATAGGTAATACATTCACATTGTTTAAAATATTAAAAAAGATAAGAGGGTAGACAGTAAGAATTCTCTCCCTCTCTCCCCAGCTACTCATAGGTGTGACCCGTGTTATCTGTTACTTATGTGTCCCAGAGATACTTTATGCATATGTAACACCTTCATTGTGTGCAAGGGTTTTTCCTCAACTTATTTTAGAACCACTTCGTATCAGTACATATACAGTCTCCTTCATTATGACTGCATAGTCTTGAGAATCTATTTTAAAGGATACCTGAAGGTGGCCTGTCTGCCCTCTTGACAACTGATGAAATAGCTTGCATTTGGAATGTGAAGAATACACATTTCACAAGACAGGTAAGAATAACAGCAGGTAGAACTTCCTCATACATCGGAACAGTGTTAAATTATGGCAATATTTGGACTTTGGGAATGAGTTCATAACGGTATGATCACACTCTGCAAATGCCACTTTTAAAACTGTTAATAGACTTTGCACCTTTTCTTTATAAAAAAAAAAAAAAAAGAACTTCCTCATATAGCTTCTACTCATGCACCCCACCCATGTGGAAGATGCCCAAATTTAAAAATGCCTAGTTCTTTTCTTTTAAACTTGTATTTTGAACCAAATCATGCTAAGTTTTGTGTAGTGACCCAAGATACTATATTATGATAACACAGTGATTTTTTTAAGAAGTAGAATTATAATTGCAATAATAGGTAAGCCCCTTTAGCCCCACTGCACATAGAATTAAATCCAGACTTCTCACCAAAGCCTGCCAGGCTTTGCACAATCTGGCTCCAGACGTCTCTTTAATTACTAGTCTCCAACTGCATAGGCCTCTTATCACAGCCAGCCCTTTCTTGCCTACGGGCCTTTGCCCTCACTCCTCTCTCAGTCTGGCATGCTCTCCTGGGCTCTTTCTGTGGCTCTCCACTTCATCCTCCAACCCCAGCTTAGTGTCATCTCCTTGATGTCTTTCCTGAATGTGCCATCTGTAGTGCTCCCTCACCCAGCTCCCACTAGTACTAACTTCATAGCATTTATTATAATCTATACTCATTTTGTTTATTTATATGTTGTCTGCCACTGGAATGTAAGATCCCCAACAACGAAGACTTGAAATGTCTTTACCAATATATCTCCAGGACCTAAAACGGTGCTTGCCCTCTCAAATGGTCCCCCATAATTAAATAAACATAGTAAAATACTCTAAAAGAAATACTGTTTTTATATGAGGTTTTAAATTTTTTATTGACATCTATCTAGAGTCCTACTTACTTTTTCTGTAAGAGACATTCAGTATGTTTGAATTACTAAAGCTACTTGCATCTGCTATGCTATGCCATCTATGAAGTGATGCTGCTTATGCCAGTATGGTATGTGCTCTTCATCTTAGAGTCTTTTTGAGTCACTAAGTCAACATGTATTGGTCATATGTCAACATTTATCAGCCAAGTACTTACCTCGTCATTACTGAAAAATATATACTTATATGATGCTTTAAAGTTTGTAAAATGTTTTTTACTTATGTCAGTTTCTTTGCTCTTCAAAACCCCTTCTACCCTGTAAGGCATCTATGGCCATTTTACTGGTGATGTTACTGGAACTCAGGAAAGATTAAATTTTGCTTAAAACAACATAACTAGTAAAAAATAGAGTTAATAGGGGAACTTAACTCTTCCAAGTCAAACTTCTAAGTCTAAATCCTTGGCTTTTTCAGCCACACCACAGCTATTCCAACACAGTATTTGAATAAAACTTGGTAGCTTACAAAGCACTTCTACCTCAACTATTTCATCTAATACTCTTTACTACCCTTGTGGTTGACAATGCTGGTAAAATTCCTCCCCTGAAGAATTTGCAGTCTCTTTAAGGAAACAATATATATTCAAAACCAAAGCCATTGTTGCAGAGTAATATAAACACTTGGAAGTTAATTACAGAAATGCATACAGATGCTGAGGAGACTGTGTATTGTGGATAGCCAAAAGAGATCTATTATAAAGCCTGGGAAGAGGTGAGTGCTATCAGGATTTGGAAGGAGAGGAAGAAACCAGATTCAAGGGGTCAGAAATGATGGATCCTGCCTTCCATATACAGGCAATGGCTGTGCAAAAATGTATGTGCATGTAAGCACAGCGTCACGTGGAGAACATGACCAGCAAATCAGCTTGACAAAAATAGAGGGGCTTCATCAAGAAATAATGAAAGCTGAGGATGCTAAGATGAGTATTTCTAGTTGGTAGAAGATCTTAGATGTTAAGGGGAGTTGGATTTTATTTGACAGACATTGGGGAGTTGGTAAAACCTTATGCAAATAAAAGAGATGAAAGCAACGCTTAGTGCAGCTATGTGTAGAATGAATCACAGCAGGGGAGACTGATCGAAGGCTAGTGCAATAATCCTGGTGTAAGGTGATGCAGTCATAGACTATGTTGGTGACTGAGGAAAATGGAAGGAAAGTGGACTTTCAGAGAAAGGCTCATCAGGATTGGATGATGGATTTAGGGTAGAGGAGAAATGTAAGAGTAAAATGACCAGGTTTCCGGAACTGGGCTGATTGTGGTGCAATAAACATGTTAATTCTGAAGGAAAGCCTTTTGGCTAAGGCCCAGAATAGAGAGGTGGGGATAAAGAAGTGGTGAGCTAAGTTTTTGAAATGCAAAATTGAAGGTGGTGCAAGGATGTTTAGTGGAAGGCCTGTAGGCAATCAGAGAAACAAATCTGGAAAGAAGGTAAAAAGTGAGAATTTCTATTGTGTGATTTTTTTAAAAAAAATATTTTTTCTTTATTGATTCTAGAGAGAGAGAGGAAGGGAGAGGGAGAGAGACATAGAAACATTGATGAGATAGAACATCGACTGGCTGCCTCCTGCATGCCCCCAACTGGGGACTGGGCCCACAATTTGGGCATGTGCCCTGATCAGGAATTGAACCCACGACCTCCTGGTGCGTGAGTCGATGATCAGCCACTGAGCCACACTGGCCGGGTGTAATTTATTTATTTATTTTAAACCTCTGACTCTCTTTCCCAAACTGCACATTCGCTACCTACTCACATAGCCTCAAATGCTCTTTTCTTGGCAATTCACTATTGAGAAGGATCCATATTGATAGAGTTGGATATTTCTTTGTGAACCTTCTCTGTGGTAGTATTAAAAAAAAAGGAAATGAGTTTTAAAATGTATTACGACTTTACACCCTGAAATGATTATTTAGAAGCTACTTTGGTTTTTAAAAATGAATATTCATTATTTTCAAATTAAAAATTTGTACTTAAGCTTTTATATTAACTATATCCATTTAGAAATTCCATTTATAAATCTATCAAATTGATGCCTGATCCACCTGGTTAATCATTTTAAACTACATTTATTAATTTAATAATTTGAGGGTTATTTTGTTTTTTGTTTTGGTTAATTCTCACCCAAGGATAGTTTTCCATTGATTTTAGATAGAGTGGGAAGGAGGGAGGAGAGAGAGAGAACATCAATTGGTTGCCCCCAGCACGACCCCAACCAGGGCTGAGAATGAACCTACAACCCAGGTACACGCCCTTGACTGGGAATCAAACCCACGACCCTTCGGTCTGTGGGCTGGTGCTCTAACTGCTGAGCCAAACTGGCTAGGGCAATTTGAATTATTTTTTAAACATCAATTTTCTGATTAACAAACCCTTCCAAAATCTGAAGTAATTTTCAGAAGACTAATAAATTAAACAAACACATGTGGCGAGTGGTAAGTTTTCTTAAAAGTTACCATACAGCCTGGCCAATGTGGTTCAGTGGATTGAGCCATCCTCCCATGGATTGAGAGGTCCTGGTTCAATTCCCTGTCAATTGCCAGCTAGATCCTCAGTGTGGGGTGTGTAGGAGACAGCCAACTAATGTTTCTATCTCTCTCTTAAAAATCAATAAAAACATTTAAAAACAAAAATTATTACAATGCAGTATATAAACTTTTAAAAGATTTTTAACTTAAAATCAAGTCTAAGTCAATTAGTCAGTTACGTGCTATAAATCATCATTGCAAGGTTAATTTTCAGATATTTTAATAAACATTAAAAGTATTTCTATTAAATATTATTAAACATTAGCACTATTTAAGACATCAAACATTAGAAGCATTTAAAATACCAAATATGTAGATCCCTTAATAAAAAAAAAAACAATACTATGAGTTTAGATTTCTTCTCTTACGTCTTTATTAATTATAAATCTTCCCAAGATTAAGAGATGCATACTAAGAAAACAATTGTGTCATCCCAAGCAAATCTAGGAACATCTAACCAAGAAAGCTTGGGTTTTTACCTTCTTAGCTAGGAGGTCTTAGTATGGCCAGAGTGTCTCTTGGCCTCTGGGTCTTCAGTTTTTGCCTTCTCTCTAGTGCAGCGATTTTCAACCTTCTTCATCTCATATCACACATAAACTAATTATTAAAATTCTGTGGCAAACTAGAAAATATATATTTTTTGCCGATTTGGTGGGGGGAAAAAGGTATAATTTTGTTTTGTTTTGTTTTTATTGATTTTAGAGAGGGAGAAAGGAAGAGAGGGAGAGAAACATAGATGTGTGAGAGAAACATTGATCAGTTGCCTCTCTCACACACCCCAACTAGGGATCAAACTCGAAACTCAGGCATGTGCCCTCACCAGTAATCAAACCTGTGACCTTCTGGTACATGGGGCGACACTTCAACCAATTGAGCCACATGACCTGTGGAAAAATAGATATAATTTTGATTCATTCACACCAGACAGCTGTTATTGTTTTGGCTATTGTCATTTTTTTATTTGACAGTCTAAGGGGAAAGAGGTAAGTGCCCCTGACTAAATAGTCAGGTATTGCACATTTAAAAAATTCTTGTGGCACAACTGTTGAAAATCACTGTTCTAACATCCAAAAGGAAGGAGTTTTAGCTTTCTCTATGGAAGTGTAGTCAACCAGATTCCAGTTCTACAATTTCTTCCCACCACCCCTTAAAGGCTGATTTTTAAGAAAGTACAGAACTGGACTAGGCCAAGTGTCATTGATATCCTACTGCATTCTGAACCTCTGATCCCTCATCACCCTGTAGTGGGGAGAAAAGATATATTGTTAAAATTAAAAGCAGTCAATAGAACTTCTTTTAGGAGAAAAAAAAAATGTCTTTAACTAAAGAACTAGACTTAGCAAGTTTCGTGGGCCATTTTGATTGTCAAAAGGTAGTCCTGAAGGGATGGCAGGCATAAGTTGGAAGTCAAGTGACTTACATGATGAAGAAAAATTTTCGAATTCCAGAGGGCAGTCAGAGAGGGAAGGGAAAGAAAAATTAGAGTAAATGGGGAAAGACAGGAGCCTAGCTTGAGGATAAGGCTAATGTAGGTGGATGGACTCTGAGGGAGGGACTTGTGAAAATTCCCAGGTACAGGGGGTATGAAATGTTCATGCTAGTTTGTTCTGCAGTGTTCCCCTCCGACAGGACCACCGTGGTGTCTTGTGAACCAGTGGTGACCAGTGGTTGGATCAGAGCTTGAGAGACGTACGGGAGAGAATAGAGAACAGTTGGGAACCAATCACAATTGCCCAGGAATTACAACAGGGATGGAATGGAAGCAACAGATGGAGGAGAGATTCAGGGACATCAATAAGATTAGGAGTTGGAGCCACATGAGAGAGAATGGTGAGACCATTCACAGAAGGAATGAGGTCAGACACGTGAGGGTGGGGTGTGTGGGAAGGAATGAAGTGGGTAGAGTGCGTGGGGTAGCCATGTTGAGTATGACATGCTGGGACCATCAGGGGGAATTCTATAGCTGGAAATTATACCATAGTGGTGATATTTGAAACTGTGAATATTTCTGAGGGACTGAATTTAGAGAGGAAAGAACAGACTTCGTGCACTACAGGACCTTTGAAGGCTTTGTGCATTAGAATTAGGGAGATGGGGAAGAGGGAAAGGGACCTCTGAGGAAAATGGAAATAAATGGTGTGAAAGAGAGATCTTGGGTATTGTCGATTCATAGAAACCCAAGGAATAACATAAATGAACTTATCCCAACATACATAATTCAGTTTATGCCTTTCAGTCTACCTCATTAGCCATATATTAAACACCTTCAGTGTGCTAGACCCAAGAATACAGATATAAATAAAACAAGATCCCTGAGGCTGGCCTGGGGAAAGTCACTTCCTAACATGATGGTTTGGGGGGAAATCCATCCAGGAAACAGGTCTGCCTCGTTGTGGGTGAGGGGGTGTGTTGAGGGGGGAGCCATGGGTCCATAGTTCTCAAGTTTTACTGCACACCACACTCTCCCTGAGGCCAGTTAAAATACAGATTACTGGGCCACACTCCTAGAGTTTCCGATTCAGTAGGTCAAGAATAGGTCCTGAGAGTCTGCGTTTTGAACATGTTTCCAGGTGATTCTGATGCTGCTGGTTCTGAGCCCTAGGTTGATGGTGGGTTGTGGCTTGGGGGTATGAAGCATAGGAAAATCAGTGCCATCCTTTGCCTTCCTTCTCTGTAATTCTCAACGTCTGACCACTGAGCGTCCATCACTTCTACATTCTTTTCACCACACTGTTAATGACTGCAGTGGCAACCTCTAACTTTAAGAAATTGTTTCCAGGGCTGCGGCTTTTGAAAACTGTTCTGGAATGGAGGTGGAGGAGGGGAGTTGTTAAACCTCTGCCCCAAACCCCATCCCCTCACCCTGCAAGGCACTGGCCCCCTGCTTCTGCTAATGACAGATAAATAAAGTTTCTACTTTCTACTTGGCTGCTACAGAGTGGTTCCATCAAGAACCTGGAAGTAAGTCTGAGTTCTTCAACTATAAAATCTATGCTTAAAGGATCAGAGCATAAGACAAAAGGATGGCCTTTGTTAACAGGCTTCTTGAGTAACTTCATTAAAGACTTAATGAGGGAAGCACTCAGACCAGGAGACAGGGGAATTTGGTGAGCCAAGGAAGGAAAAAGGGAGTTACAGAGGTTAGCATTGGCAGTGACTACTCAGGCTTTGGCCAGGGAAGAGGCAACATTAGTGAACAGACTTCTGATGTTATGGTCCCATTGGCAAGCCCATTTCTGGTGTGGAGATAGAGGCATCACATTTTTAAGCCTGATCCATGAGTCATTTGATTTATCTGGCTTCTGTTGGTCTGATTCTCATTCATCTCCATGGGTAGATATCTTTGCAGGGAAAGAATTCACTGTCCTCTCACACTCTCATATTACAGTCCTAAGGAAAGTTACAGTTCTTACTGTAATTAATCTGTTGATATCCTACCTTTATACATTTCTCAAGAAGTTAGTTAATTTGAGTCTGCAACTAAAGATGGATCTGTTCAAAATAAGTTAATGAAATCAGGTTTCTGAACCTGCCAGGTTGAGTACCAAAGCCTGGACTGGTAAATTCACCAAGGGAATGTCTAGTCTTCCATATTATTTTGCAGGACACATGGTAATAGGGTATGACGACAGGGAGCCACAGTTCACCCTGAGGATCCAGAGGAGGGTTCTTGGAGGTAACAGCTGAGTTATATGTTAAAGGCTGAGTAAGAGTTTACAAGTAAAGAGAGTCAGGGCATTCCCAGGTTGGTCCAGGGCCCAGAGAAGAGAATTAGCATGATGATTTGTGGGACTAACAAGTATAAATTGTGGGGTGGCTGGAAAAATAGATAATGGTCAAACCAAGGAGAGCTGTCAGCCTCATGCATAAGAAGAAATCATTCAAGTTTTTATTTATTGATTGATTGGAGAGAGAGAGATTGATTTGTTGTTCTACTTATGTATGCATGCATTGGTTGCTTCTTGAATGTGCCCTGACCGGAGATCAAACCTATAACTTTGGTGTATTGGTACAACGCTCTAACCACCTGAGCTACTAGGCCAGGGCCTACTCAAGTGTTTTCAGCAAGAAAACGACAGGATTTATCATTCCAGCTGTGGGGTGGAGTACGATTTTAAGATGGGGTGAGGTCAGAGGAAGTTAGGACATTATAGTCTAGAAGAGACAGTTCTGAACTATTATAGAGGAGAAGAAACATTTCAGAAGTGAACACCAGCAGAACTTAATAGTTGGACACATAATGTCAAAAGAGGATAAGGGAGAAAAGAGGTCACCCAGATTCTGGTTTGGGTGTCTCTGCGTAACATCAGCATCTGTTGGTCTCCAAGGATGAGCCTCTCTCTTCCTGTTTGTACGAGTGATCTCATTGAATCTCTCATCCTGTCTCCTCCAGGACCTGCTTCCATCATCAACTTTTTCTCTCTTACACCTTGAGTCTCTCTTATCCACTGGCTCTTTGTTTTCAGGCTTGTTCAAGTGTTTCATACTAAAAACCAAAAGTCCATCAGTGAATCCTGTGTCCTCCACTACCTCCTACTTTTTTGCTTACTCTTATAACAAACAAACTTAAAGAAAAGCAAGGGTGACTGGTCATGCCCCTCAAGCTGGGACAGGACTTCTGGGATCTACTCAAGGCTATAGGTTAAGTAGATCTCCCTCCTCCTTCCATGTTGGTGGTAAATGGGGAAGACTTTGGATCCCAGCTGAGGCCTTAAGTAGGGAAGGAAGGGCCCAGCAGTGGTGAAGGGAAGGGGCCCGCTTCTTCATTCTTTTCTGTTTTTAGGAGCCCGAGCAGGGACAAGCCTGAGTACCGTGGGGATGATGGGGAACCTCATACTCCATAATATGGTGGCTTTATAGATCCTAGAAACTGGGCATCGGGCAAGGCATGAGGAAATCAGAGCAGGAGCACTGATTGGATGGCACGGCCATGAACTCAAATGGAACGGAGGAGGAAGCATCTCGGCATTTGTTTCATAGCATCTAGGGGCTAGGGGTTAAGTAGAGTGAAAATAGTTTTACAAATGTTAATTTTGAGGCATGTGCATGTGACAAATGGAGATGTTCAGCATTCAGTTACATATAGTTTCTGGATGCTCAGAGAAGTCAGTGCTAGAAGTAAGGATTTGTAAGATCTCTATATAGAAGTAGTAGTTAAAGCTGAGACTGGATGAGGTTGCTCAGGCAACACAGAGAAAGACAATGGTCCAAGGAAAAATTCCTGGGCAGCAGTTTTTAGAGGTCGACAGAGGTAGAACCATGAAGAGGAAAAAAAGTCCTGATACCAGAGAAAGAGAAGCAAAATGTAAGAGTTTCAAGAGCCAAGGGAACAGTTTCAAGGAAGGGTGGAAACTCCCAAGAGAGAGCCAGGAAATTAAGACTTACACGTGTCCACTGGATTCTGCACAAAGGGAGTCTTCAGTATCCCTGAGAAAGATGGTTCCAGTGGTGTGGAGGGAGTGAATGTGAGGGGAGGAGGTAAAGACAGTGAGTGTGGATCATTCTTTCATAAAGTGCTGAGCTTTCCTTCCTGAGATGCCGGTATAGACCACAATCATTTTGGTGGGCTGCCTTTTTTCCTGACCTTTCCACCTTGCCTAAGAGCCAAGCACTAGGAAATAACAACCCTAGACAGATAGGAGAACCCCTAAACCAATACTGGTAGAGGATTCAGGGTTGACCCTTTCCTCAAAGTCACTTCACTTTCACTAGACACCTCAAACCTTCTCCATCTTTTTGCTTCCCTTCATTTGTGCAGATGGATTTGTCCCTATTCCAACAGAGATCCCTCCTCATGGGGGAGCAATAAGCCAGGGGGGACCACACGGAAGATTACAACTCTCAGTGATGCAGTCTGTCTGGGAATGAGAGGAAGACCATCTGTCAACCATAGGAATGAGCACACTTTCCTGAGCCCCTTCCCCTTTAGTCAGTGCTCCTGCTCTGATTTCCTCATGCCTTGCCCGATGCCCAGTTTCTAGGATCTATAAAGCCACCATATTATGGAGTATGAGATTCCCCATCATCCCCACGGTACTCAGGCTTGTCCCTGCTCGGGCTCCTAAAAACAGAAAAGAATGAAGAAGCGGGCCCCTTCCCTTCACCACTGCTGGGCCCTTCCTTCCCTACTCAAGGCCTCAGCTGGGATCCAAAGTCTTCCCCATTTACCACCAACATGGAAGGAGGAGGGAGATCTACTTAACCTGTGGCCTTGAGTAGATCCCAGAAGTCCTGTCCCAGCTTGAGGGGCGTGACCAGTCACCCTTGCTTTTCTTTAAGTTTGTTTGTTATAAGAGTAAGCAAAAAAGTAGGAGGTAGTGGAGGACACAGGATTCACTGATGGACTTTTGGTTTTTAGTATGAAACACTTGAACAAGCCTGAAAACAAAGAGCTAGTGGATAAGAGAGACTCAAGGTGTAAGAGAGAAAAAGTTGATGATGGAAGCAGGTCCTGGAGGAGACAGGATGAGAGATTCAATGAGATCACTCGCACAAACAGGAAGAGAGAGGCTCATCCTTGGAGACCAACAGATGCTGATGTTACGCAGAGTCACATTAGACACTCTTAGGGGAGTTCATCTGAATTTTAAATAGATCCAAAGTCATTTGACAAACTACATTTAATCCTCGTAACAACCCTATGAGGTAGATATTGTTCTGATTTTATACTAGAAAAAGAACCTCAGAGAAGTTAAGCAACATGTCCTAGGTCACACAGTTTACAAGAAGCAGACCTAGGTTTTGAATCCAGGCCTGTTTAGCACATGTTCTTTGTATGACCCCATGTTACAGCCTGGTGCCTTAGAGCAGAGGGAATTGTGCCTGTCCTAGAAAGCCCACGTGGGAGGTGTTAGGAGACATCGAACCTTTTAATTTGTGAAATCATTACAGGGGTATTATCTGTTTAGGTGTAGAGCTTGTTCTGGGTTCCAGATTTTCTAGTTTGTCTAGAAATCTGCCCAACTGCAGCAAACAGCATAGGCCCAACTAGGACCGCAAAAAGTCAGCAAAAGCCTGCTTAGAATTTGAATTAAAAATCAGCGAGCAGTCTCCTGATTTTGTGTCTTGTATTTATTTCGGGGTATCTGTGTGATAATGGAAAATGTGGTAAGGGCTGGAAACGATATACCTGAATGTTTCAGGTGAATCATGTTGAAGGCATGAGCCCTCAACTGTAACCTTTTTTTCAGGAATGAGTTCCAGGTAGTTGGTTTTGAGGTGCACATAACCCGTCCCAGCCCCCCAATCACTCCTGAGACCATCAGCTAATGGCACAGGCAGAGTCATGCCCACTCACCATGTAAAGCCACTTGGCTCACCCTACCACATGGCCTAGCCCCACCCAAAAAGGAACAGGGGGGTTTTCTCCCTGGTCTCAAGCCTGGTTCTACACTACTTCCTGAACTGCCCTCACATCTACCCATTTCTGACCTCACCATCCCCACACTCATTTCCCCATCTTCAACCAGGCTGATATCACTCCCTCATTTCGGGGAGTTACATATGAATCCAAGTGCCACCTGAAGAGAGGTACTCAATACCTGCTTCCTGGTTGATTGAAACATACACCCTTTTCATTTATGTCATTATAATTACTTTCTTACCACAGGCAAAGATGCCACAGTTCTTAGTTATCCTAAGAGAATTTGGTTTATTTTTAAACTATAGATAAATCTGAATTTTTAAAATCATCAGAGTCTGAGCAACTGCCAGGAGTAAACATACTTCAGCTGCATGAATCTGAACTGCTGCCGAGGGAAAGCTGACTGGTAATAATACTTGATGTCTGTTCCACACCATATGTGTCCACAAGGTTTCTCCCGGATCACCACACTTGCTCATTACAACTTGTTATTTCCATTTTATAGGCTTAGTTCATCAAACATTTACTGGTTCCTTCTGTATACCTGGCCCTATGCTGGGCACTGGTGGTGATATTGAGAGGAAGATAATACAGTTTCTATCTTTAAATTGCTCACGGTCTAGTGGGAGACACAGATATAGCAACCAAGTAAAGTATGCTGTGGTTAGAATTAAGCAAGTGGTGTGAGCAAAATGTTATGGGCACCAAGAGGAAGGAGTAAAGAAGAGGGTGGGGAGAAGTAAGCATCATTGAATGCCTATGAAGTACCAGGTACTAGGCTAGGGCCTTGCTATTCAAAGTGTGGCTCACTACACATCAGCATCTACATCATCTGAGTGCTTTTAGAAATGCAGAATCTCAGGCCCCACCCCAGACCCACTGATTCAAAATCTGCATTTTAGCAAAATGTCCAAGACATTTCATTAAAGGTTGAGGAGCACTGAGCTAGGTGACTTAACAGATTTTACTTAATTTGCAAGCCAGTGAGGTAGTTATTACTATCCCCATATTATAGACAGGAGATAGTGTTACATAATTCTCTGTGTCACAGCTATGTCACAGAGATGGAATTTGAACTCAAGCCTGACAGACTGCATTCACTACACTGTGCTGCTCCTTACTCTCTAGAGGAGATATGTCTGAGCTAGACTTGGAAGGACCTCATTTGGAGGAGGAAGGGATTCCAGTCAAAATACCACTTGAGCAAATGCTTGGTATGGCAATGGAATAGGGTCTGCCATGGGGAATGGTAGGAATTAAGGTGAGTGAAGAAGATTGGAATCAAATTATAAAGGGCCTTGAATGTCAACTTGAATTTATCCTGTGAGTAAAGTTCACAATCTGCTGTGAGGCTGTAATTATAGGTAGACTGCTTGTCAGAAGTCCTGCCTCACCACTTATAAGCTACATCGCTTTAGGCAGTATTGCAGGTTGGTTTCTCTTGAAGCAGACACTGAGATGGAATTTGGGGTGCAAGATGGATGTTAGAATTCAAGGCTGTGAGAGGAAGAGGGAGAAAGCAGGGCTGGCAGAGGAAGAAGTCAGAGAGCAGCCCAACAAAGTATCAATCAACCTGATGTAAGTTCTTGAGTGAGGATGGCCTGTCCAGGTTGTCCTGTGTCAAGTTGAAATGGCCAGGCCTTTGTCAACAGATGCTCAGGCAGGGCATGACCTTGGGTGATGTGGGTCTCTGCAGCTGGGGAAGACCCTGACGCAGGAAGTTGTCTGTTGACAGCTGGGTGGTGGGTGAGTCCTTCCCTCAAGGGGCTCCGCAGTGCACCTCTGTGTCTGCCACAGGCAGTTTCCTTCCTTCTGTATCTATGTTCCTTCATTGGCTAAGCAGAAATATTAGTAGTAAATCCCCCCACAGAGCAATTGAGATGTTATATACCTGGCATATAATCCAAGGATGCTAGTTATTATTATTATCTTCCCTGATGAGATAGTTACTGTATAGTACTTTCTTCCTTGGAGCACTTAGATTTTGAAAATCCCTTACTATGGCCAGAGGAATATGAGAGGGTCATGCCCAGTTCCTAGCTCGCCACCTGGAATTCTACCCCTTTTTCACAATGTTCTATGTCTCATTGATTCTCAGGACTTCGTGCTGAATTAAGCTGCATTAGGCAAAAGGCAAGATCTGAGGAATTTAAACCAGAGGAATGCCATGTCAGATTAGTGATTCATAAAGATCATGTAAGTTGAATCATGAAGGATGGACTAGAGAGTGTATTACTTGGGTATAAGCTAAGCTTCTGTAATATACAGATTCAAAATAAGACACAAACAAGAGAGTACCTTTCTTTCTCATATAACAGTCTCAACATAAGTGGTCAAGGGCCATGGCACTACTCCATTAGGGCACTCAGGAATCCAGGTTCCTTTCAATCTTGTTTCTCTACTGTCCCCTGTCAAATAAACTCAAAGAGAGTCTGAAGGGTTTGGCTAGAAATAAAGACTTATTTAAGGGTCTTAGGGTTTGCAAACTGTAAACACAACCAGGCAAAAGTATTCCAAAGTGTTCCAAAGAAGGAAGAAAAGTCAAGAGTTCTTATAATAAAAAGTTCATTATTGAGAATAACCAGTTCTGCATTCTTAGCCCTCGAATTGGTCCAGGGGAGTTATTAGTCAGAAGTCAGGCAGTCTGGAAGATGGGTGCCAGGTTGTCTAGAAGATGACACCAGGAAGTCTGGTCATGTCTGGTGGTCTGGATAATAGATGTCAGTGGTCAGGGTTATCTAGAGGTCTGGTGTATGTCCAAGTATTAACACATAAGGAACTGATGTATATTCAGGCATTGACACAGGACTGAAAAGTTTAGGTTCCCAGTCTAGTTAGGACAAGAATAGAATTATTTCCTCATGTCCCAACTTACTTGATTTTAGTAACTTAGCAGCTTGACTAGAGTGACTCCGTTTTATCTTTTCCACTCTATTCCTCACCCCTAAGACAGTGGTTCTCAAAGTGCAGTTCCTGGACCAGCAGCAGCAGCATCGCCTGGGAACTTGTTTGATTAGGTATGGCCCAGCAACCTGTGTTTTAACAATCCCTCCAGGTGATTCTGAGGCACATTCAAATTTGAGACATACTCACCTGGGATTTTTGTTCTCATCTTTCAGGTCAAAACTATGGGACCAGCCTGTGGAAAGGTGGAAAGAAAGCAAGAAGAATGCAAACCATTTTCTTTTCAAAGAAAGTGCCTGAAATTGAATGTATCACTTCTGCAGACATCCTGTTGGTTGGAACCTGGTCATGTGGCTATGTAGTCATGTGGTTTACCTAGTATTAGGAACCTTGGGAAATGTAGTTTCTAACTGGGCAGGATTGTGTCCAGCTAAAACTTGGGGTTCTATATTACAAGAAAGTCAAGGAATGAATACTGGCAGAAAACAGCTTCTGCAGGAAGGAGGGGGTCAATGAGGGGGAAAGGGGGGGGGTCATCTGTAATACTTTAAACAATAAAAAAAAGAAAGAAAAGAAAATTAACAGCTTCTTCCACTATTGCATTAGGAGAGGCAAAAAAGAAAAGTGAGGGGCAAAGCTAAAGTAGTGAGTATATACGGGAGAGCAAACTATATATATCTGAGAAATTGATTTGTTTTGATGACTGTTTTGATGTTATGATGAAGGAGGAAGAAGTGGAGAGCGCCTAGGTTTCTAGGTAAGTGGATGCTGTGGTAAAGATTCTAGGGGAAGAGAAAGGAGAGAAGAATATAAGGTTGATACCAGACATAATGAGTTTGAGTTGACTAAGAATATCAAGGTAGAAACATCCAGTCCTCTAGGCAGTTGAAAATACTTGTCCAAGGATTGTGAAATTGGTTGGTACTGGAGATAGAGATATGGAAAACACTGTGGTAGTCAGAGCTTGGATGTGAACAGGATTGCTCAGAGTGTGATATGGGAAGAGGGATCAGTGCTGGGGAGCACAGACATTTAAGAGGTGAGCACTAGAAGAGAAACTAATGATGAGTGGTCAGAGTGATAGAAAGGCTAGAGACTGGAAATCAATAGAAGGAGGAAGGCACTTTCAGGTCAGGGTGGGTACCACTGTCAAATGCTGCAAAGGTCACATATATGGCAAATACTTAGAATTGGTCTTTGGTGACAAATGAGAAAAATTGAGCCTCATACAACTTAAAGGACATGCCCAGTGTTCTATAGCGAGTGGGTGGCAGAGCCAGAACAAACCATGTCTTTTATTTTTCCAGGCAGCCACTGTCTCTTTCCTCCTAATGCTATGTCTATGCAGGAAGCCTTAACATTTTGTCTCATACCAAGTTGGAGTATAAAAACTCTTCTGGTTTGTGGCTCTCTGCCCATCTGTAGGACTGTTTTCCAAAATTATTGTGGTTCTTTCTGTCTCCTATGTACTTGGGCTGACCCACCCTAGGTATAATTGTGACATACCAGGTTGGTTTATAGGCTTCCCTTTCCTCCCAAGCATTCCACAGTCATGTTGTCTTTTGTCTTTGTGGTATGCCTTGCTCTGCATCCCAGCTTTAGAGCAATGCAAAGTAGTTGTCATACCTCTCTACCCACCATGCCAGTGCTAGAAAGAGGAGCCTGATGACTAAGAAGCATAACTCAATTTCAAATGCATGGCCTTGCTGAAGATGCTGAACACCTGGGTCAAGGACAAATCCCACTAATGTGACCTTATTCTCTAGGCTCCCTGCCGGTCAAGAGGTTGATCTTGGACTTGGCAACATACAAAGTTGCTTATCTTCAAAGTGATCTATTTGATTTTTATTCTATTTTCCTAAATCTTTGACAATTATGCATCAGGGTGCTTTTAAGGTAGCTGAATTCTATGGCAGCTTTCAGCCTTCTGCTACTGGTGAATGTTTTCTGCCTATTAGAAGGACTTGCCAGCTACAGGCAGACTCCTACTATCCACCAACGAGCTCACGGAATCTATAGCTGTGTGCTGACTGCAGAGTGACCCCAAGTTTTTGCATATCTTGTAAGATTACTATGGGAACACAGTCATTATGATACAGCAGTTCTTGTCTTAAGTACTTTTGTTAGTTTTAATTTTATGGTTTCATTTCCTATTGATATGACAGACTCTTGATAACCAAAAATAAATATATCCACAAATGCCAGGTTCCCTATTTCATATATGAGTGTGACTTCATAATCTAAATTGAGTAAACCAGATCTGTTATGCAGCTGTGTACTCTCAAAACAGGTGAGTCAGACAAGACTCCATCAGCTCTGACACACTGGATGACCTTGAGAATTTAGTGACTTCCTATGACATAGAACAAACCAGGTTAGTAACTGCTAGCAGAAACAGACGTAAATACCACTAGTAAATACTACCACTGATTCTAAAATAAATGCTGACCAGATTTACACTTCACTTTCTGCTGCTACCACCAAAGTCCAAGCGATCAAGACACTATCACTAACATGGAATATTAACCAGTCTACCTGCTTTCATTCTGACCACCTCCATCTACTTTTCACACAGAAGCTGGAGTCATCTTGTAAGTAAATCAGATCTTGTCACTCATCTGCTTAAAACTCATCTGTGTCCATCTCATCTCACAATAAAATCCAAACTCATCCTTGTGGTCTATGAGACCCTGTGTGATCTGGCCCCTGCCTGACTCCCATTTCACATCATTCTGCTCTCCTCCCCCTTGTCGTAGTCTGTCTATACCGGCTGTCCTGCACCTTGTGATGACCTAGTCACACTGCCTTTCTTTTTCTTGCACACAGGGCTACCAGGTGCAGGCATGCAGGTTATGCACTCCATAACTCCAGGAACGGCATTCAGCAGGCTTCAGGGTGAATGATGGCCCTGGAATTGTGTAGCATGGCAGCCCAGCTCACACATGCCAAGCTCATTCCCAGTGCCAGACCTTGGCACTTGCTGATCCTTCTGCCTGGTACATCCATCTGCAGGTTCTGTGCAGACCTGGCTCCCTCTTGTCATCCACCCAACAAGTACTTTACAAAGCACTACTTTTATACTAGGCAGAACTGACCTAATTTGCAGGACTCCAGATAAAATGACAATCAGGACCTCTTAATCAAAAATTATTAAGAATTTCAAGATGGTAACAGCAGAGTATTAAACCAAGCTCAGGCCCTTCTGAGTGTGGGGTCCTATCTGACCACAGGTCATACCCACCTCCCCTCTTCCCGTGAACTTGGCCCTGGCCTCAGACTCAGCTCAAGCGTCACTTTCCCAGAGGGAGCTTTCCTACCGACCCAAACCAGTGTGTGAAGGTAAGGTAGGGACTCACCTTCCTTTCCAGGTAAAACTGCTGCATTTGAAATTACAGATGAAACAAGGACTCTTGGTTGCACTAGCACTATGTTTTTAAGGCTGAACATCCAATCAACATAAAAAGTTGTGTTTTTTAATGAGATCTTGGACAGGTTCATTGTTCTGTTAATTTACCTTAAAGGCAATGACAGGCCTTATAAGCTGAGAACTTTGTTGTGCAAAGATCAAAAAGGACTCATTACAGTATTATCAATTTGAAAACAATACTGTGGTTAGATTAAAAATAAATTTAAAAAAACAGTCATGTACATTTTATGGAACTAAGGATTTTATATATAATAATGAACTCAATTATATTTTAAAGTTTAGTAGAAATTGCAGTTACTAATTGGCTAGCTTATATTTCCCTCTGCCTTTGGAAATGAAAGTTTTTGAAGAACTAAAACAAAATTATTTTAAGTATAATTTCATCCTTGAAAAGTCAAAGTTTTGTTTTGTTGTAACACTGAAGTGTCTTATTTAAAATACAGGTAGTTCAAAATATATTTATTACTTTCATTCATATGGCATTTGGATTATAAAGTTTCACATAAGGTATTTGACTCAGAAAAAAAAAAAGATGCATAGAACAGCTTCTTTAAATATAAGTTCTCACCTTGTTATGGGTTTCTCTCCTACTCCTAGGAATCCAATACTCTCATTCTAAATAACAGGAGTAGCAAAAGTTCAAGAATCTGCGAGAGGAAGATAAGGCGAGAACTTGTTATTTCAGAGTGACTGCCATTCCTGCCACCATCCTCTGGCTAGGCAATGATATCTGGGGGCTTCAGATACGGTTTTCTGTAGTGGATTACCTTTGGGTTACTGCCAGGAGCAAAGTAGTTGTAAAGTGCAACTTTCTAGAAGCACTTGTAACCAAGGGAGAAAACAAATTTCTGACCTATTTTTTGCTCATTTTGTAAGCAATCATCAGGAAGGAAGGAAGGAAGGAAGGAAGGAAGGAAGGAAGGAAGGAAGGAAGGAAGGAAGGAAGGAAAGAAGGGAGGATGGAAGGAAGGAAGGAAGGAAGGAAGGAAGGAGGGAGGAAGGAAGGAAGAAGGGAAGAAGGAAGGGAGGAGGGAGGAAGGAGGGGCCTAAGAATGATAGGAGTTTACACTAGTGTCATGTAAAGATTCAAAGCAAAATTAAACAGGCATAAAGTACCTCATTCAGGAAGTCTAGTCCTAGACTAAATTATGAAGAAAACAACCCTGACTTCCTCCCTTCTTGCCCACTTGTTCTCCTAAAACTAGCTGATAAACTTTTTATAGTACTAAGGTATAAATGACTAAAATAATTACTGGATTATCTTCTACAGGAGTATTTGCTTTAGAGCGGGGGGGGGGGGGGATGTCTCTTTCCAAATTGCTAAGTTTTAGTGGCAGAATTTCAGCAGAGCCCCCAAATCATCCACAGACAAACTATTTTATGTTGAGAGAGTTCTCTATATTTGCTGGTTCCTTTTCATCTTCTCTGTCTTCTCTTGGAATAATTTTAAATTTACAGGAAAGTTGCAAAGATAAACAGAGAGCTCCATACATCTCTCACTTGTGTATTCCTAATGTTAACATTTTATGTTACTATGGCTTATTTGTCAAAATCAAGAAGCCAACAATCATACATTAGTACTATTCACTGAACACTAGGCTTAATTAGGGTTTCACCAATTTTCCCACTAATGTATTTTTTCTGTTTGATCCAATCCATGACACCACATTGCATTTAGCCTTTTCTTTTACACCCAATCTAATCAGGCTTTCGTTCCCAGAATTTCATAAAAACAGCTCCCATCAAGGTCATCAATGACCATCATGCTGCCAAAGCCAGCATAATGCCAAGGTTTTTTCTCAGTACTCATTTCAGCAGCTTTGTTTGACACAGTAGTTCACTGGCGCCTTCTGAGAATCCTTTTCCCTAGCTCTCTGAGACACCCCTTCCCCCAGGCACTCATACCTCCGCAATGCCCAGTCATTCTCCGTCGCTTCTGATGGTTCCTCCTATTTCTTCCCTACTGCTAAGCAATGGAGAGACCCAAGCCTCAATCCTTGGTCCTCTTTGCTATCAACACTCCCCGGGTATTCTCTTTAAGTCACATGGTGATAAAAGTCACCAATTTGTGATGACTCGATGACTCCATTTATATCTCTGACCCTGATTCCTCTGCAGAACCTGATATAACTGAAGCTGCGTGCTCAACATTTCACTTGGTTTCCAACAGGAGTCTCACACTCAATACCTCCCACACTGAACTTGTGCCCTTAAACCTGCTCCTCCATAGGTTTTCTACATCTGAGAAAATGGCAGTGCCAGTCCACCAATTGCTCAGGCCAAAAATCTTAGAATCACTCTGACTCCTCTCTTTTGTTTATACCCAACAATCAGCCTATCAGCAAATTCGATCAGCTCTACTTTTGGAGCTATCCTGACCACTTTTCACTATTTCCACTGCCATAATCCTGGTTTAAGTCACCATCTTTCAACTTGGATTACTGCAATGGCTTTCAAAGTGTTCATCCTGCTTCTGCCCTTATCCTGCCCCTACCTCCCCACCACCCCAAGTTTATTCCCAACACAGGAATAGTTTTAAAATGTAAGTCTGTTCATGTTACTTTACTCAAAACCCTCCAAAGGCTTCCGTTCTCAAAATACATAGAATCCAAAGTGCATGGAATTACCAGGACTGCAAGGTACTACGTGATCTGCCCCTCCCCCAACTCTCTGCTTAATTTCCTGCCACACTCTCACTTACCCCACCCCAGCCACACTTGCCTCCTTGCTCTTCCTTTGACTTACCAAGCACGTTTTGCCTCAAAGGCCTTGCACCTGCTATTGTCTCAGCTTGGGATGCCTTGTCCCTAAATACCTTTCTGGCTTGCAGGGAAGAGTGATAAGGTAGTTTGAGCAAGGTAGGCTGACCAACTTCTTTTTTTTCCTTTATTGATATTTAGAGAGAGAGGAAGGGAAAGGAGAGAGAGAGATGAATAGCAATAAGAGAGAACACTTATTGGCCGCCTCCTGCATGCCCCCCACTGGGGATTGGGCCCACAACCTGGGCATATGTCCTGATCGGGAATTGAACCAGCAACCTCTTGGAGCATGGGTCAATGCTCAACCACTGAGCTACACCTGCAGGACGTGACCAATTTCTTTATATTTTCCAGGGACAGTCCTTATTTTAAAACCGAAAATCCCTCTATTCCAGGAACCCCTTGAATTCCTGGCAAATCAGGACAAATAGTCACCTAGCAGGAGTAGGTGTCTGTAAGGGATCTGCAAACATTTAACATTGAGGTCAGAGCAGGCATCATGGACAAGGAGACATTTGGGCAAAGGCTTGACAAAGGTGAGGACTGAGTTTGCAATTCTTATTGATGTATTATTCCTGTGGGCCTGTCTACAGAATCCAATGGCCACAGACAAAGGAAACCCCAGTGGTTATCAAAAAATGCACTTAGCTCTGGCTGGTTTTGCTCAATGGTTAGATTGTTGACTTGAACATCAAAGTGTTGTGGGTTTGATTCCCAGTTAAGAGCAGGTATCTGGGTTGCAGGTTTGATCCCCAGCCCTAGTCGGGACACATGTGGGAGGCAACTAATCAATGTGTCTCTCTCACGTCAATGTCTTTGTCTCTGTCTTTGTCTCTGTCTTTCTCTCTCTCCCCCTCCCTGCCTCCCTTCCACTCTCTCTAAAAATCAATGCAAAAAAATATCCTCAAGTTAGGATTAACAAAAGATACACTGAAGCTCTGGCTGGTGTGGCTCAGTTGGAGCATCATCCTGTGCACCGGAAGTTTGTGGGTTCAACATTTTGCATTCTATCACAGCCAGGAAATTGATATTGATACAATCCATAGTTCATGCTTAGTATTTTGTTTCCAAAACTAAGACTGTCCTCTTAATGGGATTGAATGATTGGTACTCTCATGTGAGGGTGGGAGGGGCAAAGAGTGTTGGTCAAAAGTCCTTACCACTTCAGTGCTGGACCATGGCAGTGAGTGCCTCACCTTGCTCTTCCTAATTCCATCTGCAGTAAATCACCAACTGTGTTTCTGATAGGATCACTTCTTAACAGTGTTCTTTTATTGCCTTCAGCATAATCAAAGCTACCACTTACCTAATGTTTACTATGAGCACAGGTTCTGTGCTAAATATTTTTCATGCACTATCTCTCAGTCTTTACAACAGCCCTATGGGGTAGGCTGTTCTTATCCACCCACATATCCCCATCACACTCACGGCCCAGTATAATGGAAAGGGACTGGATTAACTGTGGCTTATGACAGGCATTTTCTTTCCTTCCTCAGTGAGCTCACAATTGATTGGAGAAGCAGAATATAAAATTATAATTGATAATATAAGGTAGTATATATATAGCAGCAATCCAGGGTGATCTGGGAACCTAGGGGGTGGGGCACTTGTTGAGGGAGATGGGCTGGATTTTGAATGTGGGCCTGGACTTACACATATGAAAAGCCCATGTCTGGTAGAGCTCACACTGTTAATGACACTCATGTCTAGTGTCATTTCACCCTGCCTCCCTACATCTCCCTTGTCCCCTTCAACCAAACAGATCTGTGGCAGTCTTTCTTCAGAATACACAATAATCCTAATAACTAACATGTATAGTGTGCTCGTATTGTGCCAGTCACTGTTCTAAGTGCTGTACATATGATATCTCATATAATCCTCACAACAAACTATAACACAGGTATTATTATTAGCCCCATTTTACAGATGAGAATATTGAGGCACAAACAGGTTAAGTAACTTGCCTGAGGTCACCCAGTTAGTGAGAGCTAAGATCTGAAGGGAAGCAGTTGAGTCTAGAACCCCTGCTGTTGAGCTCTATGCTCTGGTATAATTTTTGTTTTCCTTCATGTGAGCCTTTGTAGAGGCCCTGCCCTCTACTTTCAAGTCCTTTTACACATCTCTATTGATAAAATCTCACTCAGTAAAAACTCAAGTTAAATAGCAGTCACCATAAGGGAAGCAAGCACTTTCTGAACAACCTTCTGTGTCTGGCCCTGGGCCTAGGGATTCATATTTCATTTTCACAACAATTATGCAAGGTTTTTATAAATGAAGCAATTGTGTCTCAGAGACATTAAGTAACTTGCTCAAACATTGAGATTCCCACCCCCCATCTATGCCCTCTGCCCTATAGCTCCTGTCTCAAATCCCTCCTCCTCACTGAAGGCTTCCTCTCCCTGCCTCCCCCAGTACCCATGCCTCAGTCCCTGCTCTGTACCGGCCACATGCATTCTGCACCTGTTTATGAATTTGCAGGCATGGCCTTGATAGTTCTCTCAGTCACATGTCTCTCCAGTCACAGATAGCTCTAAATCTCAGAAGCCATGCAATACACTTTGTAGGGCTTATAAAATCTTAAAATTCTTGAGCTGGAAAGCACCCGGAGATAACCAGACCCACTAACTGCCCCAGGCAGGGTTTCCTTCTACAAAGATCCCAGATCGTTCATTCATTCAGCAGTGAATGTCTACGATGTGGCAAGTATATCCTAAGTCACCGATACAGCAACAAATAGAGCAGGTCCAGTTCTTCATCTTTCCACTCAGTTGAAGGAGGGTTACAATAAACAAGATAAAAAAAGCAAAATATATAGGATGTTAGGGGAATATATATGTGTGTGTGTGTGTGTGTGTGTGTGTGAAAGAGAGAGAGAGAGAGAGAGAGAGAGCGAGAGCGAGAGAGAGAGAGAGACCTTAGGTTGGCCAGTGGCAGCCCCTCTGAGAAGGATTTCTCCCTCAAAGTCCGTCATCAACCCTTTGCTTGCATATGTCCAGCTACAGAAAGGTCATTCCCTTAAAAGGCATTCATTCCATTTTTAACAAGCTGATTGTTCTGAAGCTTATCAGATCTTCTCCCAGTGACTTCTACCTTCCTTCCAAGTTCCGCTTTCAGTTGCTGCACCCAGCAAGCCTGACCCACTCTCCTAAAACAGACAGTCCTTCACCTGTTTGAGGGTAACTATTTTTCCTTCTAGTAAGTTTCCCCAAAACCCTAACATCCTCAATTCCTTCAGCTGTTTCCTGACTGATGTGGTTTTAATACCTATCCCCCTGCTGGCTGCCCTCCTTTAAATGCACTGCCCTTTATCTAAGAACAGAACATTTTACTCTACAGTGGCTTGATTGATGCAGAATATTCCAGATTCCTGGATATGGATTCAATACTATATATATATATAGTGTATGTGTCATATATATATATATATTTACTGTATGTGCCAGGCGTGATATTCAGCACTTTACATAGGTTTTCTTATTTAACAGCAATAATTATGGTAACCTCTATTTTACCAATGAGAACATTGAAGCTTAGCAAGGCAAACTCAGCCAAGATCATACATTTAGTAAGTGTCAGAATGGAAACCAAGTCAGCCTGAGTGCACTTTTTATGCTCTTCACTATATTTATGAGAGGCATCCTATGTTGCTTGGAAATCCCCAACTTAGTGACCGCGCATTTCAGGAAAGATTGATGTTGAGTACATGATGACTACTGCCCATGCCATGAGATGTGAAGAACTGCATGACGCATTGAGGTGGAGCAACTGCATGTCAGTTAGTCAAAGTCACTCTGTAGCTCGGTAACTGACTCATACTCCTGCCTGGAAACTGAGGATTCAAATTCTTCTCTTGGCAAAATTATAGATACGTAGATTAAGTTACATCAGAGTAGACAGGACTGTGACTATTAAATCTTTGAATATAAGTGTCTCTTGAACTTCCCTTGTCACGGAACAGCACAGATCCCAAAGTTTGGATGGGGTTCAACATGCAAGTAGGGCATAATTTTGGGATTCCTAGATACATATCTTTTCACATTGAATATCTCTGAAATTAAGATGCTTGTTCTAATTAATGGTGTCTTATAATTGCTGTTGGTCATTTGATAGACAAGATGTAGCAATGCTGCCTGCACATGTGCCAACTTGCTTTATGTTTCTCATGGCACAGTGGACAATGGCAGCCCATCAATTTTTCATTCAGCAAATAATCTAAGGACCATTTCAGAAAGTAATATAATCTTGGTAGTTTTCTGAAACCCTCGTTGACACCAGAAAAGGTAAGAAGGAACCTGCATTAGAACTTGTGAATGGGGGGAGGGGAATGAAGTCACTGGCTTG